ACAATCCGGGTCCTCATTTTACCCACCTCAGAAGGATGGAAGGCTGAGTCAACCCTGAGCCGGTGAGATTTGAACAGCCGAACTGCAGTCAGCTGGAGTAGCCTGCAGTGCTGCATTTAACCACTGCGCCACCTTGGCTCCTTCCGACTCCGTTATTCTATATATTCTATGTATTCTAATTCTTTTCTACTTTTACAAACCATCCTTGCTTCCATTACAGGTACATCCTGCTTAATACACTGACTTTTATTCTTCGAGCTACTCAGCTCTTTTGAGAGTTCTACCAGGCTTAAAGTTGCCAAGTTTGGAGACCGCTGGTCTAGTGAATTATTAAAAATCATAGGCAGGTAAAGGCACCCTGTCAGATAGGAAATGTATTTTTTAAGAAGCTGTAATCCTCCCCGCTGCACATCAGAGGAAGATTCATTTGGACAGAATATTAAAGGTCAACATGACTACACTATGAGAATATTTACCAAACCACAAATAAACCAACACTATGCAAAGCAAATGTATTTTCACCCAAAGCGTGTGAAGCCCTTTCCCTGTTGTTACTTCTTGCCCTTTTGCGGAGACTCGTTTTAATTTTGCTTTGTGTTATTCTGTAAATAGTCAAGGAGTGTTCGCTTTCATTTGTTTAAATTATTTTAGGGAGGTGGTTTACAGATGCTGGAAACATTTTCAAGTGTCCTTCAGAAAAATGTTTACCCATTAGCTTTAAGGGAGATTCTAAGCTATATTGGGAGTTTTTTTTAATGTTATGACAACCACTTATGGTTAAGGAAACTCTTAATGGCTGGGATTCCCAATATGTGGATATTCCCTCACAGCTTATCTTTTCCCCAATGTTATTTTAAATTTTAAAAAAAACTATCTAGAAGGAAATGAGCATGCTGCAAAACAAATCAGAATAATAGAGTATTTATTTCCAACAATCACACATAAAGTCTCCACAGGGGTTTTTCGGAAGTTAAAGTTTGCACTTACGGCTTGGATTAGTTTATGTAGCTTAACCAAGATAACTAAAACCTAGCAGCCTCAGGAAAAAATGTGCTTCAGGGAATGTATTTGTTCCTTAGAATTATACCCATTCTTTAGGACAGGGTTTCTCAACCTTGGCAACTTGAAGATGTCAGGACTTCAACTCCCAGAATTCCCAGCGAATGCTGGCTGGGGAATTCTGGGAGTTGAAGTCCAGACATCTTCAAGTTGCCAAGGTTGAGAAACACTGCTTTAGGAGTTTGTTTAAGCGATAGCCCTTTCCTCCAATTTTTCTCATTGCAATCTTGGGACAGAAGCTGGGCTGAGAAAGAGTGACTGGCCTACAGTAGCAATAGTTAGTCTTATATACCGCTTCATAGGGCTTTCAGCCCTCTCTAAGCGGTTTACAGAGTC